AAGAAAACACATGCTAGGCTATGCTGAATAATCGAAAACGGTAGAACGTGTAGCAGGATTTAATCAGGTATTACGCAGTGCTGTGAAGCAACAGCAGTTCCTCTCCAACCAAACTCTCCGTGTAATTGTTTGTCAAGGATCTTGCTGTACATCAGATCGAACTTGTGGTCAATACGCGAGAAGACTTCGGCGATGGCCGTGCTGTTGGAGATCATGCAGCAGGCACGCATGACCTTGGCCAAATCACCACCAGGCACCACCGTGGGAGGTTGGTAGTTGATGCCGCACTTGAAGCCAGTGGGGCACCAGTCCACAAACTGGATGGTGCGCTTGGTTTTGATGGTGGCAACGGCCGCATTCACGTCCTTCGGTACAACATCACCGCGGTACCTGCGGCGGGAGAGACACAAGGCGGCACTGCAGCGTGCAAGACGAGCAAGCAATCAATTACACTCAACCATACTGAATTGCAAACATGCACACCATAGCACACACACTCACAAAAAAATCACAAACACACTCGCAAGCAATATGCTAGCAACGCGCAAATGCAGAAACCCTGAAAACACAAACACGACACACAAACTCTGATTTCAGACTGGCCGAGACGCATCATGCAGCAAGCCATGTACTTCCCATGGCGAGGATCGCACTTGACCTTGCTTGTCCAAAATGGCCGGGCAAGAATGGACTGTGACTGGCCGTAAAACAAAGTAAACTTTAGACTGATACATCAGCGCTGGAGAACTGAGCGGCCATCATCGAGGCAGGTTCAAACACGGACATGGTGATCTCCGCCACGGAGAGCTGCTCATGGTATGCCTTCTCCGCCGAGATCACGGGCGCAAATGAGGTGAGCATGAAGTGGATGCGCGGGTAAGGGACAAGATTTGTCTGGAATTCGGTGATGTCCACGTTCAACGCACCATCAAACCTCAGGCTTGCCGTCAAAGAGCTGATGATCTGAGCGATCAGCCTGTTGAGATTCGTGTAGGTTGGGCGCTCAATGTCCAAGTTCCGGCGACAAATGTCATACAACGCCTCGTTGTCCTTGCTGCTCCAAACAGATCTCAAAACTCCCACGTTCAACCAACACGCAAATTCATGGATGCTGGGACACTTGGGCCACGTAGTGAATAAATCAGACTTGTCACCGAAACGGTTAGCAAGGCCTATCGCAATCAATTTCAGCTTCACAAATAGATCGTGATAGCTCAGTGATTGCTGCCCAGGCACGTACATGATGGTCACATCCGTGTGCTCCAGCAGAGAATGCACGCAAAGCACGGTGTTGTAGGGTTCCACCACAGCAGTCGCCACTTGCGGACACGACCAAACTGTGAAGGAAATCTTGCTCTTCTTACCATAGTCCACGGACAAGCGTTCCAACATCAGGCAGCCCAGGCCGGATCCTGTGCCACCGCCGACAGCGTTGTACACACAGAAGCCCTGCAATCCAGTGCAATTATCGGCCAATTTGCGGATTCCTGAGTTGTGCAAGAAACATGCACTGGTCATGTCTTGCAGACTTCAAAGCAGCACACAACTATCGCTCTGCAAGCCTTGCCCCCGCAGCCTAGCATCGATCAAGGACCAGATCGACGATCTCCTTGCCAATGGTATAGTGCCCCCGCGCCTCAGTGCAAGTGAAAATGCCTGCGCCCATAACACAAACACAAACACGGACAGGAACAAAAGCAGGAAAAACAACAAGACCGTAACAAAAGCAACACCAATAACAATATCAATGGCAAGAACACGGACAACAACAATGGCAACAAGGACACAACAACAAGAACAACACTAACAGGCACTCACACAACAAGAGCAAACGCAATACCATAAACAAGAACATGCATAATAAATACTCAATAATAACAATAACACTAACAGTAGCAATGCCAAGAACAAAAACAAACAACACAACCACCAACCAACAACCAACAACCAACAATCCACAACCAACAGCCACCCCACCACCACCACCACCAACAACAACAACAACCAACCGACAACAGAAACCGATCAACCACCAACCGTAAACTTGTGACCTACGCTGTCAGCCTAACTGGTGTTTTCTTGATTTTTTTTTAATGGTTTGTTTGTTTTTTGTACGATTCGCATTTACGATCTCAATATGACTCCTGCAACAGTTTTTTGTTTAAGTGTTTTTAACACCTTGGAAGCGTTTGATTTTGAAAGCGCTTGCTACCCTAAAACATGACCTTCCTGGTACCAGAACATGTTCATAAGTGAAAACAGCTTGCATTCTCGCAACACACGCGCAAGCTCGCCAAATGCCCTCTTGCAGTCGCGAGAAACGCATCTTACCCTTTTACACAGTTTGCGCCTGCACCGCCTTGACCTCAACTGGGCGCGCCTAAAAACAATGCAGCGCTAGCTAGCTTGTCAGGCCTAACCTCTATGCAGAAAACACAATAATTGAATCGGTGACCTCAAAAGCAGTCCTGCCTACTGTAAGATCCATCCATGCCTCTTT